GTTTGTTCCTGATGATTGGACATGGCGAATAAAAAAGATATTTTTATTATCTGTTTACGTGTTTTCACGTTTTTAATACTGTATTTCTGCCAGCCCTATTTTTCAAAAAAATCTTTGGTGTCCTTCACTGACAAAGCTTTCATTAACTGTAGGAGTCTCACCATGCTTCATCTTTTAAGAAAGACCTTTACGTCGTTTAAAGCGTGCCAGCCAACCATTATTGTAATTGAAGTTTGTGATGTCCATCCGTTCTCCAAACATGGAAGCTTTGTGTTTAATTGTTGTATTATCTGTTACACAACTGAAGTGTGCTTAGCGTTGAGTTAACTAATCCAAATAAATAACGCATCTTCTAGTTCTTGATGATTAACGGTTTAAAGAAGTGTCACATTTTTTTATTCTTCTTTTAGACACCTTTCTTTATTGTTAACATTGTCTCCAATCGTCCTGCGACCAGTCTTCATATCCCACAAAATAGAAAGATGATTGGCTATAAATTGTTGATTACTCTTCGGCTTGTGAAGTAGTGAACAGAAATTTTTTCTATTTTGTTCAACAGAAATTGTAGCCATCTTTCAGACATCATTTTTTCCATAGTACAACCAACCACCTTCATGACCGAAACTCAGAAGTAGATTAAGATGACAAAATTAGCATGGGACTGATTTGACAAATTTGTGAAAGAAATTACAGAGTGCCTTGAAAGCTTTTAACATTCCAATAATGGGCGGTATCTTTAAGTAGATCTTTCCAAATGTGTGTTTGTTTGTTAAGTTATGGCAACGCAACACTTAGGCGATCTGCCTAGGGAATGCCTTCCGGGAGTCTTTTTATTTAAGGGAAACTGGCCCCTATTTAGGCGTTACAGACGTGGAGAAAACCCGGAAAACTCCACGTGGCCAGCCCGTCCGAGCGAGGTGAGAACCCACGACCGAACTCTCAGTGTTCAGGGAACGAAGAGCACTCAGCCACTGGTGGGCCCCGAATGTGTGACAACTGAACTTTTAATGATAAAATGTTCCCGAAGTGCCTTCCAGACCCTCCGACGTTACCGGATTAAGAATGATTCACAAGAATCGTTTGAGTGATTGCCAAGTTCTTGACAAGACGTTAATTAACTGATTTACATTTATGTTTAGCTTCATTTCCTGCACCTGTGACAGATTATCGAAAACAAAAACAATATTAAAATGCCTGTTTGTGCAAGCTTTTAAATTGGTGGATGGCAGAGGGCGGTTTATCAGGAATTTCTTGTCTAAAAAACATACGGAAGATCCTTTCGCTTATTATTTTTTACGAACGGATAAGGGTGGCGGCGTAAGGAGGCATCTTTACGAGGTGTGACTGTAGTTATAAAGGGGGACGCGAATCAATACAAGATACTTTTAGTAAAACCAAGACGAGAATGAGATACTACTTCACAAGACCAAGATGAGACTAAAAATTTTTACTGCGTCTTGAGGCACTCGGTGATTTAATTTTGGGGTGCCGAGTTAAACGAATAAAAAAATTTTAACGCAAATTCAATAAAATTTCTACCTTATGTGACTGGCTAATTCATAATTAGTATAGAAATAGAAGACATTTACACAATACAGTACAGTAATACCTCGACTTACGCTACCCCGACTTACGCGAACCCGGAGTTACGCGATTTTCAAATCTCGACGATTCGTCTTTTGTTTGAGCGCCACTCAACTCTTGATTACTCACTCCCTCCACACTATTGTTCAGCTTACATGTTCAAACGTGTCGCGCGGAATTGACATATAGCTACAATTTACTTTGTGTTATTTATTTCTGTGTTTGTTATATCTACGGAGACTTACTATGTCATCCAAACGAAGTATAACTGATTCTTCTTGTTTCAAAAGAAACAAGAAGAATCAGTTATACTTCATTCCAAAGAAAAACTTTATCTTTGGAATGTAAAGTTAACATTATTAATTAAAGACTTCGATACAAAAATGAAAATTTGTGAATTGGCAAAGAAGTTTGATCTACCGGAATCGACGGTCAGAACAATTATAAAAGGTATAGAAAAAATTCTCGACGCTGTGAAAAACGCTCAATCTTTAAATTTAAGTATCATTCGTAAACGTCACGGTATTATCGCTAAAATGGAAACAATGTTAAAATTATGGTGTGATAATCAAGTAAATATGAAAAATTGTATAATAGTATAATTTGTTATACATATGTATTATCTAAGATTTTATTAAACATTTTTTTTCTAAATTATTGTTTTCTTTAGTCTCCGGCCCCAATTAAAAATTATTTGTATGTATTTATATGCGAAATTATACCCCGACTTACGTGAATTCGACTTACGCGGTTATCGCTTGGTCCCACCTATCGCGTAAGTTCAGGGTATTACTGTATAAATAAAAAAAATTAGTTTAAGAAAAGATTTTTAAAAAAGTTTCTAGTGTTTGGTTTTTTTTCCTTTGAAGGGTGCCAAGGTCCCTTGCCTCTGGGTGTGCCACTGTGAAGAGTCTTTAACATCACTGCCGATCACTGGAGCATAGTTTTCGATCCTATAATGCACGGGAATAAATATGAAGTACAATTACATAATCCTTTTAGGTCTCAATGCTAATTGACCTATTCACGTAAAATCCTCGTAGTAACTATAATAGAAACATGAAATACAAGTTCTTAAAATAAACTAAAAATTTTCTGGGAAATTTTGTCCTCAAACAGGTTACTTCATTAGATTTATTTTTAAGATTTTAAATATACTCTGACTAATCATTTGTTTAGTCTACTGCTATAAAAAACGTATAAGTTATAATTTTCATTCTGTGAGACAATTTATTGATGCTTTGAAAATTTCCGAATTTTCATTTATAAAAAATGTGTTTGCGTTTATTAAATTTTTATTATTGAAATCTTCCAGCTTAAAATATGTTAAAATATGCATGTAAAATTATACTGCAATACAGTTTCATCAATTTTCTGGAGGTTGTATCGAATATTACAAATTTTCTTTACAAGTTTATGTGTCCTGATTAAAATGTATTCGTTTGCTGGATTTTTGTCGCGTATGTGCGTGTATGTTAAGAAGTTTTTATTATAAAATTAATAATGTGTACGAATATGCCTAAAAATCCTAAGAAATGATCTATGTATTAAGACTGAAAAGGGACCTGCTGTCTGAAATGCATATCGAAAAATAAATATATAAAGTATAAGAAAAATCATGTCTGGAGGTCATTCTGTTCCGTGTTTAATCCAGTGTGATAAGTCCGTCTTTGGGAAAAGTGCGCTAGCAAGAAACATACAAAATAAGACAACGGACAAAATAATAAAATATAAAAAAGTTTTATTATGTTATTTTTTTATCACTAATGGAGAGCCTAAGTGTAAATTAATTAACGTTTATTAATGATAATAAATGAATTAAAATAAAATACCTTTAAGGCAATTTTTATATAAAATAATAAACTGAGAAAATTTTTAAAATTCGCATTAAGTTAATTTTAAAATGTTCTACCTAAAATGTTATATAAAATAATACAAAATTTATTTCAGTATTACTGTATTAATTAAACTTAAATTAGGTTTATATAGTAGTTATTTCTTCATAATTAATATTTTAATTTGATATTTTATCTGTTTTCATTCTTAAAACACGCGATATTAAAGAAATTATAAATAAAACAAAGAATAACGACTTCCGCGAATATTTCGCAATTAACTATATAGTCGATATAATCTCTTCCAGCTGATAGAATTAGTTTTTCAATTGATAAGTTTTTACTTAGAAGTGTCCCAATTAAATTTATCAGAACTTACAAGATTTATCGAAGTTCAAAAACAAAATTACATTTTTTTTCTCAATAAGAAAATTGACAGAGAAAAATCATTCAAATACAAATTGAAAAGCGATTATACATATAATTTCCTTGACAGTTATATAAAAGTAACATTATCATTCCGTGAGTCTATCCGTAAAGTACAGAAGAAACATCCTCCAATATTTTTGTATCGACAAATTGTTCCCTTTCCAAGATATAGGCCTATACGTTCTTTTACTTTGCAAAGGATTAGTTTATTATCACACTAAAAAATTAGGAGTACAAACGAATATACCGTACACAACAGCTACCTTATTTTTTATATCCACTCAAAACCAGAGAAAAATTTTTCTGAAATTAATCATCGTCATTGACCCGGTCCCCAATATATATATATACACAGATTACACATGTTATTATTATTATTATATTTATTTATTGACAGGATTTTTAAAAATTAGGCTACATATAGAAGTTTTTGAACAGTAATTTTTCATTGTAGACTTTCATTTGGAAAAATGTAAGTGTCTGATCTTATAATAAATTCCTAATCTTGATAATATGATCCTGACTTTTCCTCCAATTAGTTTTTATTTTTAATTTTATTCCACACTATATCAAAGGTGTTTCAAGGTTATAAATCACTAGACAACAGGATATGATAGTGCAAGATTTAAATATCCGGCTTTATTATAATAAAATGTCTTAGAAAAAAAATATTAGTTTTGTCTTATAGACTTACTGATGACAATTTTTATTCAAGTTGAGAATGCTAACTTATCGTATTTTGTTTTATGAATGAAACATGGGATTTAAAGGCGTACTAAACAGAATAAGAAAATATTTCAAAAGTAAAAAGTATATAATTTTCATATTTTAGGATGTTTGGTCATTGTTTGATGCGAAGTATTTGACACGTTATAGGCTATACAGTCTATCTAATTTTTTCCATTTAGGACAGGCTCATCCGAAATGGATAAGAAATAGGATGGGAAACAATGATAAATATATTAATATTGCCCATAAAACGTCAATATGTTACAAGATAACTTAAGTATAAAAAGCTAAAAAGAGCTTGAAATAATTTATATAATAAAATAAATTTAAAAATTCTACGTTAATTAAAAATTAAACATCTTTTTTGTTCTATAAATAGAAAAAAAAAAACAATATTTGACGTTAAACGTAAAGACGAAACAATCGAGACTTTTACTTCCTAACCGGTTTTATTAACACTTCATTCGCTAGAGGGCAGTATAAAATCTGACATCCTGTTAACGTCATCGCAATGACGTTTGGTGATGAAATCACTTGTTGTAGAAGAGTCGAAGGGAACAGTGTGTTATCAAAATATTTTTATAATATGACGAAAATTTAACCACTGAAGCATTAACAGAGTATTCGCATTTTGAAAGGTAAGCGTTATCTTTCTTAAAGCCTTAGAAAATAGACTGAAAGTAGCCATTATTGAAATATTTTTGTACATCACGTGACTTGATAATAACAGAATTGACCTTTCCATTTGCAAATCTGACAAAAAATCTCAAGTGGCATTTAATAATAATAACTGCTAAAAAGTAAACGTTTTGGCACAAAAATTGATTTTAGTCAACCCTTACGAAATTTTTAAATATAATTTTATCTAGAAAACATAAAATGTTTTATGAAATTTTAATATTTGTAAAATTTAACAAAATTAAAGCGGAGCTTATGGCAAATTTGTTATTTCCTTATAACGGGGAGATAAAATTTTCCTTCTGGCATGTCTGTTCTATCAAAGACAGAAACATCAAAAGAAAAGAACTATATTTAATGGCTTAAAACTACAAATACAAATGAATACTGGATGATTATTTGAGTTTATTAATTTACACTTAATGATTTGGAATTTAGAAGATTCTCATAAACAATGTTTTGGATTTTTATATTTATCAATAATAATTACGTTGTTTATGGTAAAATCTATAGTTAACTCTTCAATGAATTGTGCATCTTAGTTATGAAAGAAACTTAATAGCATTTTGAAAGCCAGTCTCTTAAAAATATTAATTTTTAGAAAAATAGAACAGAAAGAAATTAAGTTGAATATTGAATGATATATTAAATATTTCTCATTCTAGAATAGCAATCATTTAATGTAAAAACAGAAACCTATTTGTTATGAAAACAAACAAGAGACCATAAACCAAATGTATTTCATAGATATAGTATGTAACTACTATATGTATAAAATTTGAAAATGTAGTAGAAATCTAGCAACATTTCTCCTACCTTTCTATAATGTGTTTTGTTTTTACATATGTCAAAAGTTGATTTTATATTAAATCTATCATTTGTAAAAGAAACTTTTGAAAGGAAAACAAATGATTACATTTATTATATGAATGTGATCTATTACATTATGAAAGCTTATTTATTTAATTTAAGTGCAGTACAATATGCAGTATACACTATATACAAGGATGAACGACCTATAGCATGCATACTCATTGAGCAAGATTTTTATGATAAGCATCATCAACAAGATGCTGATGGTGCTTATCAGAGAAAATCTTGCTCAATGTTGCCTAATTTTAAACCATAGAGTAAAAGTTAATAATAAATTTGATTTAAAAACAAGCAAGATGCATATGAATCTAATGATTTTATAGATTTTATTTCTTTTGGCAAATATAATAAATAAGTAAAATATAAAATTAAATGGCTGTTTTTTTATTCTAGAATATTAGGCATAGTTACATGTCAGAAAATCAATTTCAACATACATATTATCATTCAGTATATGTTAAATTTCTTTGTTATATTTTTATGAAATTAAATACTAATGAGAAGATTGAGTCTTCCAAAATGCTAATGTTTTGAGTTTTTTCTTTAACTATGATATATGGTTTGTAGAAAAGTATTAACAGTAGATTTACTATAAACAATGCACATATTATTCATATATATAAAATCTGAAATATTTGGTGTATAATGTGTTAATAACATATGGCATGATGCAGGTTCTGGGACTATAGTATAGGAAAATGAAGTTAAGAAGTGAAAAAAAAATAATAAGATCTATCAAAAAAATTAACCAAACCATGATTGAAACAATCATTTTGATTACCATTACATAATTATTCTCAGTCAAGTGCTAAAGGCTCTTTCAATATGTAAATTGAGCTAATGTATAAGAAATCACACCATCCATACTTTTTTCAGCAGCAATACTTTAATATACAAACATTTTATTCCACACTTAGGGCAAGCATCAGATTTCAACATTAACTAAATCAAATGTTTATAGCAAAATACAAGTTTGGATCAACATATGTGTTCTATTAACATCAGAAGCTATTGTTGAAACATGTTCTATATTAAATTCTATTGTTGAAATCTAATGCAGACCCCTAAACATGGCCGAAAATGTTTTTATGTTACAGTGTTGCTGCTGGAAAAAGTCCGGATTATGTGATTTCTTATGCTAAAGTCTTTTTTTAGGAATTCAAGTCTCATACTTTGTGACGAGTAGGGTTAGAAGAGGGATAGGTCTGCATTAGCAATTTGAACCACAGCCCAAAGTGAAGTTGTTTGTTTCTGATGCAATAGATGTGTTATTTATAAGGATACCTTCCTAAAACCACAAATAAAAAAAAAGGTACCTTCCAAGACCATTTCATTACTCTTTCATACTTGTTTGCTACCAGTAAAACAATTGTTGACTAAAGAAATTATCAGATGCAGTAAAAATATGAACATTGTTCAGCTTTAAATTTGTTTGTGGTCAAATGCTAAAAATGTATAATTTATATATTCTTTTCTTCAAAACTATTATATGAGGGCTGTTTGTTTTTCAAGCTTTGATGTGAAGATTGAGGAATTTGTTATATCTGTGGATGAGCTTTTTCCATTCTCTTGTCATAGAATGCTGCTGCCGGTGAATTGAGATGGCCTTAACAACGTTGTTTTGAAGATCGTCATTAGTTCATTAGTCTCGAACTTCTGCCCTGTTAGCCATGTTTTCAGTTCAGAAAAGAGATGGAAGTTTTTACACATTAAAAAATGTTAAACTGGGTGAAAGTCTGAAAGGTGGAAGTTTTCACCACCTTTAAACTCCCAGCGTATAGCCCCGATTTAGTGCCTAGCTACTTCCACCTCTTTCCTAAATAGGAAAAGTGGCTAGGAGGGCAGAGGTTTGAGACTAATGACGATCTTCAAAAAAACATTAGGGCCCATCTCAAGTTATTTGTGGCAACATTCTATACAATGGGATGGAAAAGCTTGTACACACATATGATAAATGGCTCAATCTTCACAGTGATTATGTTGAAAAGCAACTATGTTTGTATCTAACTTTTGGTAATAAATTCGTTTTGTTATTTATACTTGTCTTTTTTCATGGACCATCAGAGCTTGAAAAAAAAAAACAGCCTATGTACTTTTGTACAGGAAAGTTTATTCATATTGATAACAATAGTTCACAGTGAAATACATTAATTTATTTTCATAGTTTTGAAAGTTATTAGGTTTGATCAGGTTATTCTGCATTGTTTTACTTTGGCATAGCAATCATAAAAGATCTATGAGATCTAAATTCCTGATATCATTCTCCATTGACATTCACCATTTGTCATATGTAAATGTAGTTAAGGAAAGCTAAAATATTCATTCATTTGTATTTTTAGTTTCTAAATTGTTAAGTCTGGTTTGAATAAAATAATCAAAAAAGTAAATCAAGCCAAGTCTAAAAATAGCTTTTTATGAGATATTCAGCATAAATTCTTATGTCTCTTTGGTTTAGCCAAACACACCAAAAATTGGTCCTATTTTTTTAAAAGTTTTTTTAGCTGTTTGCTAGAACAAACTTTATAACCTGTACATGATATACATTTAGTAAATAGTTTAATTTTGTTATGATAGTACAACTATGGAATTGTGAGAGAGTAAAAAAGTGTGTAGAACATATGGGAATTGAAGTTGAAGAATAACAAGAGGAGAGATGGTCTATACAACATCAATCTTTGTATACTAATTATATATCAGCAAATAACTTTTTATTGACAATATATTTTTAACACTTTTAGTAAAGACAAGAACATAAATTAAATACTATTAGATAAAGTAAGATCAAGTAAAATACTATTTTATTCAAATTGATTTTTTTTAATCGAGTTTTGTAAATTACTTGGCAGTGCAGGAAATATGTTTTGAAGGGCTACATCTAGTAAAGTTGTTCTGGATCTCAATTTAGTTTTTTTGTACATAAGAATAGTTAAAAATCCAAGCAAAATATACACAATAGTGTTATTAGTACTTAACAAAATACAGGGTGATTATAAAGTCTTACTCCATTTTTGTGTAAATAGTAACAAAATCAAATGAGTTACACTTCACACTTACATTTAATTATGTAAAATAAATGCACTTAAGTGTTGTGGTGTTACTGTGTGCAACTATGCTCCTTTTATGCTCTAAATAGTTACAAGCAGTAATGCCACAACACTTATTTTACATAGTAACAAAATCGTTTGTTTTAAGTCATGTGAAACATGCTGACCCAAGAAAAGAGAATTGCTGTAGTTTTCACATGTTTTAGTGGATTAACATATACAGAGATTGGTGGTTTTCCATAACATTGTGCATTTTGTACATTACCTGCACTCCTGAATTTGCTAACCAACAGTCTGATATTAGTCCTAGTAAAAGCAACATTTCTGAATTTCTGGTTTCAGTTTATCTGTGCTTCAGTGTATGTTAATCCAATAAAACATGCACAAACAACAGTCATTCTCTTATCTTGGATTAGCATATTTCATATGACCTGCATACAAATGATTTTGATACCATTTTTACAAAAATGGATCAAGACTTTATAATGTTTGTGTATAATATGAAGAACCATTTCTATGTTCTTTCCTATGACATCTCATAGATAAGTTTTATCAGGCAATTTTTTTTTAAGAGAAAATGAAAATAAAAATATCTGATAAGCTGATTTTTACATATATAGTAAGACCATGCTTAACATGGGGGATGCATTCCTTGATAACAAAGCGCTAAGCGAAACAGCGTTAAACTAGGTCATTTCAACATAGAGTAAATAGGGATAGCAGAACATGCAACCAAAAATACTTTAAGTTATTTTTATATTAATTTATATAATAATATATGTTAAATAACACATAAACATATGCACACAGAAATGTAAAGTTCATTTTTCGTGATGAAGGATATGAAAAATTTTATATTAAAACATTCAAACTTTGCTTTAAATTATATTATATTTTTCTGAATTTTATTTTATTAGTTTTTTTCTACATTTCTTGTTCTAATGTCAAATAAATGATTGAAATGAAATATGAGTTATTTCTTTTTATGCTTTGTTAAATACTATTTATCATCACACTTATACATTTTTTATAAATAAATAAAA